TTTAAAGAGAGGCGCGAAGTCTCCTCGGTGTTTTTCTGGCACGTAAAACGTTTGTTCTGAGGGATGAGGCGTTTATCCTTGTCTTCAAGAGCTGCCGTGGCCCCGGTGCCGCTGGAGCAGCGGCTGGGGGGAAAAAACCCCCCGAGGAGGACTGGGAGGCAGCTGGGAGAATGTAAAAGAACGGGAAAAAGTATTATTATTGGTCAGAACAGGACTTTACGTAGCCAGAGTGAATTACTACCTAGTAGGCCTACAGAATATTTCATCTTTTTCGTTACATTTCAGGTCCATGGGAGGCAGGATCACAGCACAAGCGTTCAGCTTCGACCAGCAGTTTAAGCCCTATCAAAAGGATGAATTTCTTATGGTACTTCCAAGTCTTTTATGTTTTGACTTTTTTTCCTACTGAATTATAGCTGTTGGAAAACTTCTTAACGGCAGACACTGTGGCAGTGGCAGCATGCTCTGCCTGCGCTCTGTCTCCTTGGAAGCAGGTGATGTAGGTGTGGTGCTCAAGTCTTACACTTTGTGGGTTAATTATTCTTTCCAGTACAAATATTTCAGTCTGCAGTAGTGTTACTCTGTTTTAAGAGGGAACAATTTAGTCATTCAAGATTCCCAGGAACAGGAATCTGAACCGGATGCTGATCTTGACCACTGCATTTAACATTGGGAAGTCCACTTTAAACAGTGTACGTGCAGGTGGTACCCTTGCTTACAGCTGTTCTTGCTTTGTCGCAGTAGATACACTGTGCAGTGTGCAGTTAGACGTGCATATGCACCATGTATCTGAAAATACAAGATGTTAAAATTTATTGGATGCTCTTGCTTTGTACTGGAATTTTAGGCTCTCAGCCTTTTGAGACCCAAGTCTCTCGCTAATTCTGCGGCCTCCACTTTTGTTGTCTGCAAAGTCAAATCTGTTCATCTGTTTGCAGACAGAACATAATAATCTGTGGTTTTAAAACCAGTGTGGTTTTTACATCTTGTTTTAAAAACAGCACTTTGATTTGTTGTATGTCTGCCTTATATTGGTATCCTGGATAAAGAATTCAGCTTCTTTGTATTTGAAAGAGATTCACACAAAAATATGCTAATATTTCATTGCCCACTGATAAACATTTCGAACTATTGAAGTTTACAAAATATGCATTTGCCTTCTTAATGCTTGTCTCTTTTGAATTAAAAATGTGAAAATATTGCTATGAAATTATGGACTCTGAGTAGCTGTGAATTAATTGAGAACAATGGGACTATTGCATTATATAGTCTGATCTCTCTGTATCCCAGAGAGGTTGTAAAGAGATCTGGTGATGCAGAGACTGAAAAATCCATAGTTTTCTTAGCAGCTTCTTCAATGGTTATTCACCCTGCTTGTATCACAGTATGCCAGGGATTGGAAGGAACCTCAAAAGATCATCTAGTCCAATCCCCCTGCCAGAGCAGGAATTGTATGCGTATACATGTGTCAGTTTTCTTAATTGGCTTATCTATCATTTAAACTTGTCAGCTACCAACATTGCCATGAATGTCGCCTTTTTTAAAACGATAAATCAATAAGATTGAGTAATTCAGATCTTACTGTGGAACATCCCCATACCTTCAATAACTTATGGATTTCTTCTGTATCTGTTTAATGAGTTTTGTGTGTCTCTATGCTTCTGCAAGCTTCAAATTTATTTACAAAATGTAGGTTTTACAATCATACATAGCATTTAATTTTTGACTTCAACAACACTGCATGCAGAGATGGAAACGTTTAATCTCTTCTTCCGTTTTCTGTACCTTCAATGATTTCATGCAACCTTTTTGTGTGTTCTTGGACTAAAAGTGTGCTAGTGCAAAACCTCCTTAATACTGCATATATATATGTGTATATATATATACACTGAAGATATATTGAATATATAAAAGCCACAAACCCATGTATTTCATGGTATGGTATTTGGAATCCAAACTGAAAGACCACACAGAATCTACTTGCTAATTGGCTCCTTAGGATTTGCTTTGAAAGTATCCAGTGCATTATAAATGATGATTTTATAATTAATTTCATTAACTTGTATTCTCTTATTTGAATATTGTAGGCATTTTTTAATGATCCAAATGTGAACTCCAGTTTAAAGCTGCTCTCAGCTTCAGGAAAATGGACTACATTGGGTAAATTTAGAATAAATTAATCTTAAATAAAAAACTTGGTGTTGTAACCACTTCCCTCTAATTTATCATTTTGTAATAATGAAAGCTCATAGAAGTGTATCTTCACTTGGTTGAAATATCTTACAAAATGACTTATTTTATTAAATAATAATAATTTCTTATCTGGTTTGTTACTAAACTGTCACTTTTTACACCTTTTTTCCCTTGACCCCTGCATCGATCCATAAACCAAGCTCCTAGATGTATTTTTAAACAGTCTGTGACATCCAGTGGACCTGATCATGTATCCAGACATAATCAAGTGCATTCATTGTGGAATTACAGTACTACCTTATTCACATAATATCTGGAGAAAGACGCTCCTCTATAGATGCAACCACCTTATTTAGGACCGATCTGGGATTATCGCTCTGTTACAAATTTAAGTTGAGGGAGCAGAGGACATCAGTGATCTAGGCATGGATAGAGCCCTGTGACAGGTTGCTCTAGTTCTAGTCGTGGCATAAGGTTGACCTCTACTTTGTTGCCCTGTCATTAACTGCTTATAACACTTGATTACGTCTGTGGATGGAGATGAGGCACTAAAGGAAGAAGGCCAAAAGCGAGTAGCGCGTAACTTTATGGCACCACTTTGAAATTGTATTTCTGATTATGTAAACGGTATCCAAATTTTCATGGAAATTGCATGTGATTGTGTAATGGGACCTTATGCATAATGTGAACTCTGGTATCACCAAAGAGATTTTCCTTCACAGGAATATTTTAAAAGGGGGTAGTGGGAAGTCCTCAGTTCTTTTGGTTTGCCTGCACATAATTGAGTGAGTGTAAATATTTAATAGAGCTTTGGGAATTTTCTAGCTTTTCCATTTCAGCTCTCTGGAATTGGCATAGGTTTTTCCCACTATATACAGTGACACTAGACATTACCACCTTTTTGTCAGCAAAACCCATTTTCCAAACCAGCTGCTAAAACAATTGAAATAGGTAAAAAATATCACAAGTCCCCCTTCAGGTACCTCTTTTTCACTCTGGCAAGCGGAAGGAAAATAAATATATTTCAAAATGTGGGTGAGCCCTTTCCTGCTTTAGACCAGAATTTTTTTAGGCTATCTGTCTAGCCTATGACTTGCCAGCCCCTGTAGGGCAGGTCAGCAGGTTACATACCTCGTGTTAAGAGCAGAGGGTCACTTGCCAAGTATCCCAGTTTTACTCCTGATTCTGCTCAATCTTCCTCAGCACAGAAGTAACGCATTTCATTCTGAGGACTGGAAGGGTTCCCTTTCTAAATCCTGAACAGCTGGTATACCCCATTAGCTCTTAAAATTTCATCTTCCCATTCTTTGACTATTTTTGGTGAGGAATGTTGGCACATTTTTCTATACTTAGTCTTTGTGTGCATTTTTTTAAAATATAGTAAGAATTAGCTTTGAGTGGGAGGAGGTGAAAAATCATCTAGTATTTTCTTCTTGAGACATGCTGATATATTAACCCAGATATACTGTTTACTTATCACTATAGAGTAACTCTTTTAAAAACAAGTTCCTGTTCTTGAAAGAAAATAATGGAAATGGGCTTATGTTGCTTTTTTGAAACTCTGAAGAAAATTATGTAATCTGGGTTGATTCAAATACTGTATGTGTTCTCTTGCAAACAAAAACGTTGTGCACTTTTTTTTTGCAGAGAGGAGTTATTCTGGATGCGTAATATAAGTGGAGTTCCAATAGTTTTTTAGAAAACTCCTTTCTCCTCCCTGCCATGCACTTGGACAGGAAGTATTTTGGACCCACAGAAAGATGTCAGCATTATATAAAACATCCGTATAATAGTACTTTACAACAGTATTTGTTTTCGTAGTACTTTTATCTTTTCCCAGGCTGTGGTCTCCTTTTATCTTCTCACTAAGAATTTATTTTTCTTTCTAATTCAGTGGGTGTGTCCAACTTCCATACTTATCTCTACCTCTTCTCTGTTACTTTGCTGTCCCCTTTTCCTAAAATCTGTTTCTAAAAGTTCTTTACTACTTTTTTTCTTTTTGCCTGTGTCTGATCTCACTTCTTATTTCTCTTGCCTGCTTTTCATCCTGACCTTAATATTATCAGACCATAATATCTTCAATCTCCATCTGTTAGACCAAAAGGTGGCATAAAACAGGAGGTTTTATGCAGAATACACCGTGTACCTCTCAGCTGCCTCATGTGTTGGCATTCCCGGTAGAAGCCCACAACAGGACATTGTTGCAAGTTCTCCAGCTTTACTGTTACTTGAAATATATAAAATTTTAGGTAAAAAATGCCCAAGGATATTCTCTAGTCTGTTCCATCTGATCAGGCAGATACTTAGTTACCTCTTTTCACACCACACTTTTTTGCCTGTTGTAGTGAGGATATTTTTCCCCATCTTCCTGACTGGATGACAGAGTACCTGATAGTCCTGCCACGTGCTTTAAGCACCCTCTTCGTCTGTTACTCTCGTATTTCTAAAATAGAAGCAGCAAAAGGAGCAAATCTGATGCATACCAACTCATCTCTCGAGTCTTGTATTTTTAAATAGCTGCAATGAAAACTGAATAGTAGTTTTGACTTGGACACATTGCTCGCCTTGCACCTGTCAGCAGTCTTGGGGAGGCCGAACTGTGTCTGCTTAAGCTCAATTACCACTTGAAAAGTTATCTTCAAAGGGATAGGGTTACTCTCTCTTTGTGTAAATAAAAATCCAGTATTTGCCTAAGAAAAATTCTTGAGTTGCTTTATGTACTTGAAGCTCTAACAATTGCTGTCTTTGGAATGGGATTCTAAAATCTAAGGTAGTCTTAAATCAGTGATTTTTTAGATAACCATTGCAGGTTATTGTTTGCAAAAATATTTTATGTCATTTGAACTTATTAATCATCAACCATCTTTTTAGTACAGAACACTAAACTTGCATTGTGCAAGTTCTACATAGACTGTTTTGTAAGGAGGAAGTTGCAAGAACTTTCCCTGAGGTAAAAATCTTTCTTTAACTTTGGAGGAATTCTAAATATACCTAATCTGGGGTTTATTTACCCCATACTAGAAATGCAGTGTGTTCATTTAAGAGTATACTGGCAGCACTTTATAGATATTGCAGAGCTAGCTGTTATAAAAAGCTTAATCTGCTTCAGTACTTCTCAGCTCTTTGTTTTCCACTTGAAAAGTTGTCAAGGCATTTCTTCTTCCGATTTTATTACTGACTTTTATAGTGTTATTAAAACTGGTCACTCTTTTCCAGGAAATTCTGAGTCTCCAATTTCAAATCTCACCTCTCAAATGGAGAATAAGAGATTCCAGTATATTTAAATTTTTCCATTTATAGTTTGGTTTTCTGAACTACTGAATAGATTACAAAACTCTTGATTTTTTATTTTACTCCGATGAAAGTTTTCATAAAATCTTGTTTCAGAGCAAAGCGTGTCTCCTCCCCCTCCCCCAATAAAATCCTAACAATGTAAGGCCTATAAATAGCTCAATTTCTTATACTTTGAACTCAGTAACTGGGAAAATGTAAGATGTCTCTTTTTTCTCAAGTTAACATCTGATTTTTATTAGTCTTGACTTGGTTTTTAATTCATAGGTCTTTACAAAATAATTTCTATGTTAGGGGCTGATTTAGCTCTTGTTAAATGTCTTAGGAAATTAAAATTCTGTCCTTGTGAAAGAAAGATGGAGAATTAGAAGTTAGAGAAGTCCGGAGGCAAGGAGGTGGGAAGAAGCATAAATAAATAAATTTTTAAAATCAGTTTTTTGGGGTTTTTTGCCTTAGATTGTGAGGCTGTAAGTCATTTTCTTCTGACTTGTGAATTGTGGTTGCACAATTAGATTTATCTGTTTTTTTGTAGTCACTATGGGGACAGGTAGGAGAATGTCCCAAACCTTTTTTCTTTCAAAGAAAGTACCCTTTTTTATAACCATATCTGTAGATGTGAAGCCAAGCAATTAAATGCTGAGCTTTTCTCTGTAGCTGATTTTCTTTACATCATATTAGCCCAATAAAATAATTATAAAATTTCGTGCCAGTATTTTTAGCTTAAGTAGACATTTTCGCACATTTTCAAGCCATCAACATGTAACTTTTAATTATTTTCTTAGTATTTGGGTAGTAGAATTTACCTGGGTTTAGATACCAAAATGCCCATCCTACTTAACCTACGATTAAATAGTCTCCATACAGTAATATATGGGAAAAATTCCAAGGACTTTCTGAAAGTGTGGGGCAAGAGAAGTTTTGGGTTAGGCTACGCTTGCAACAATTCGAATTGGAGTGAAACAACGGGTCCTCTTGGAACCGTGATAGGTCATGCATTCCTTCTTGGCATGCTTCCGTTCCTGAAATACTGTCATCTAGAGTGAAACCTGGACATTTCCTAAATAGTAACCTTTAGTGATCCTTTAGGGCAGTTTGTCAGGACACCACTTAATTTTGGTCTTTATTGTATGGTCAAAAGCCTGTTGATCTTGTGATGTTGATGATTGTTGTCTCCCATGGAGGGAACCTATAGAGGAGAAAAAATAAGAGTAACCTCATGTAAAGCTGGAATGCTGTGAATATTATCTTGTGTTGCATGCTTACTCATGCTCGTGCTCACTTGTGCTCATGCTCACTCGTGCTCTCCTCCCCTCTCCTGTTCAGAAGCATTTTGGAGGGCGTTCAGGGGGACTTGGAGATGAGTAGAGAATATGTTCTAACATTTGGACTGTAGAGAGCAGATGGAACTGGACTGAGTCCAGAGCTTCTTAACCATGGAGCCATAAGTTACCCAATGCCATGTGTACAGTTTTGTAGATGTAAGACTGTATGTAGGGAAGATACGTGCCCTTATGGACTGGTACCTCATGAAGGAAAATACTGCAGGGCATCTCAGATGGCACTGGATGTCTGTGAACAACAGGATCAAGCCTTGAATGACTTGCAAACACAGAAAACAGAAAAAAATATAGAAAAATGTACTCTGCATGTAGTGATTACAGAGTTAATAGTCCAGATTCATACGGGAAGTGCTGGTAGTACCTTTTTCATCTTCTGAAATAGTTGGTCAGTAAAGCTTACAGCAGCTACAAAATAACTTTTCAAAAATTTCAGATATGATACTCAACGACCCAAAAGTTTGTCAGGGCTGTTGTTCATTTTATTTTTTATTTTGTTTGTTGATATTAGCAGCTATTGACTTTTGTACTCCATCACACCAAATCTGCTGTTTGTCCTCAGATTCTTTAAGTTTTAAGATGTGGAATATGATTTTCTAAAGATGTGGTCAAATGTGATGTTGAATTCCCACGGTGTCATCTGTGACTTGCTTTGGTTGATACTACCAATAGGGGGAGCAGACCCATGGGCCTTAATGGAAGGTAGCATTCAGAGGAATTTAACATTTTCTTTATGCTTGTTTCTTTATTAGCTTGCTTTGTTTTTTGACGGACTGTGTGACTGAGTCATACTTATGTCATCTGTATGATAACCATTCAGAGAAGTTAATTATTTCCATACTGTATCAAATTATGAATTACTGTAAAGCCATTAGTACATGGAAATTCTCCTATCATATATTGCAAGCGACTTGGAGTGAAGCTTCCTTATATATTCCAGGTTCCAAAGTGACAAAAGTCGAAGCTACAGTGGTGCCCTGTACACAGATTTCCACGTCATTTTTTGATCGGCTGTACTCTGAAGGAGTTGTTAGAGAAACTGGAGATATTGTGAAATGTTATGATGACTATTACGATGATATTCTCATCTCAGATGAATTAAGGAAGGTCAGTAAAGCAATGAATGATGTTTTACAATTTTTCAGACTCTATTAGGTACCATAAGGACATATTTTTTGGTATTTTTTCCCTGACAATAGACACTTTCTATGGTAAAAATAGATATTGGTAGCTAAGTGATAGAAATGACTGAGGGCACTGCAGCGCCTGAATGTGTGAAAGCAATGTCTCTTTTCCAGGTGGGCTCTCTTTCCTTTTTAGGTGGGAGAAAAAGGTAAAAACTTCTGCCTACCCTTGGCTCAAGCAGTCAGTGCTCATGTGTGGGGGAAAGGGGGGAACACAGCTACTCATTTGACTAGGAGGGGATAACAAGTGGTGCCAATGGAAAGGTCCCGGATACCCAGAGCTGTGGGGTCACCCAGCCTTCCAGGTAGTTGATGAAGTTGAAGGTACTCAACAGCTACATCCTGAAACACTCCTGGCCAGGATTGCTGACCGTGAAAGTGTTTTTAAGGAAAGTAATCTTCATGTAATTTCACTGAAACAAAGGAGAGGAAACTATGAAAAGGGAAATTATTTTTCAGTGTAACACTGGAAAAGGACTGATTATAATTCCTGAACAGGCCTGCAAGGTAAAATCTGTTTGTTATACTCCAGGGGAGGTATTGGAGAGCAGATTATTCTGAAAAATAATCTAACAGTGGCACTTTGTTAATCAACATATGTCTTCATTATGTTTCTTTTGACTTCATAAGCTAAACCAATTTTTTTTTCTACTTATGTTTGTTTAACATTAGCAAAGCATAGTGTGGGAGAACTGGATTTTGCTCTTCCCTGTATATATAATCAACATAAGTACCTAATAATTATAGAGTTGCACTCATTTGCACTTGGCAAATCCTTTGAAGGCAATGTATTTGAACAAGTGACACTGGTTACAGGATGTGGCCTGAAATACTGGTCTGTCTTGTAAAGCTCTGGAAAAAGGAGAGAACTCAAGCTGATGTTTGAATTTCAGATGTGGTATTTAGCCTAGCAGTCCAAAATACAATTCATTTATTTATAAGTTGGGTATGTGTGAAATGTTTTTTGAAAATTAAGTATATTGGATGTAGGAAAGTTAGAGGCAACATTTCAATTAAGAAATCACTGGAGTTTCAGTCTCTTTACATTTTCCTTTCCTTGAAAGGATGAGTGCTTCTGCTTTTGCAAGTTGAAGGATTCACAGTTGTTTCAAATGAATGTGATTCCTACTCCTAAGACCTAAGATGGCAGAAAGAGTCCAGATCTTCCAGGAACGACATTAAATCTTCAGATTCAATTGGTCAGTGCCCTAGGATGGCAGACTGCAGAGGGCAGCAAACTATTTATCACCTGGCATCCCATGTTGGCCTTCAACTGCAGAACTCCATGTTTCTTTCTTACCAGCCATCTGTCTTCTGTTGCTACAGCCAAGAAGGGTGTAAGGATACCTGGTCAGGTAGCTATCAACAACGGTTGCTGCCCTGACCCCTTTTCCCTCAGGTTGTGTAACGATGTTACAAAGAGGGCCAGAGAGGGGTAAACTCATGCCTACCTTTGGCCAGTTTGCCTGGGTTGGCATCTGTAGTTTGGCTGATGTGACTCAAACACCTGGTAGCCACACTGAGTTACAATTCCTGTCCACCCTTAGAGTGCGCAGTGGTGAGACTAACCCAGCAGGTCCTCTGCGTTCACAGAACATTGCAGCAAAAGTCAGGTGAGGTTTGTGGAGGCAGCTGCGTAGCACGTCTGCGTAATCCAAGCTACAGATAAAGGCTCACTAGAGGCTGCAATAAAGAATTACATGAATGCACGTGGTCTCCTCTGGGACATCCTTGGGATTCTTTTACAGATGTGAGCTAATAGTGTAAACTTAGAGCGAAAAAAGCAAATATAGGTAAAGTTACCAAAGACTAACAAATTGACAGTGATCAACACACCAAATATAGCTGGATTATTTTCAGATTATTGTTTCATTAGCATAACGAGCAATTCAGCAGCGAATAACAAGACTTCTTGAAAAATCTTCCATTTTGTCTTCTGGGCACAAATCTCATAGTGATTCTGCTTTTATTGTATCTATAAGTTTGGATTGTAATTGCATCTGGAAGAAGGATTTAGAGAGAAGTCCCTCTTTGTTTCGATCCCTAGTTCATACATTTTATATGGACATAGACTCAGCGTGACATACAGCAAAGCTGTTGCAGTTTTATAAACTTAACCGCAGATAACAAATTCTCATCTAATTGACTTCTGTGTTACTTCCTTATTCCACAAGGTCTTGCTTCTGGAAGATTCAGACCATTATGACTTATTTAGTCCATCGGATCGCAAGGAATTTCTGTTCTGTCTTTTTAAGCATCTTTGCATTGGAGGAGCTCTTTGCCAGTTTGAAGATGTAGTTGGCCCATACTTAGAAACAACAAAAGCTTTATATAAAGACTTGGTGAGGTAAATGTCTTCTCTTTTATACAAACGTACGTATATGTGCTGTGCATAGATACTCTGTGTTGATTTGTGTAAATTTATTGTACAGTACTGCTTCAAAAATGGGACTGTTATTTAACCAATCTGCAAACTTACTTGTCTTCAGCTCTCAAAACGCTATGTAACTGGTGATAGTTCAGTGGGAAAATATATGCAATTTTAATGAGATCTCTCCCACATACAAACTTTTTTTATATTGCATGTAGGGACATTAATGTTTTATAATTCACTCCCTTTTTAAAGATTTTTGTTTCTGTATTTGTCTGCTGAAAACATGGCATGGCACTGGAACCAGACTGTCATTGATAACATAGCCAAAATTAAGTCTTCGATGTATAGTCTTGGACTACTTTCAGACTGCTTTTGGCTTAGGATTTAAAAATTGAAATACTTCAGTTGAAATTTTTAGTTTTGTCTGTATTTTATTCCAGCTGATTATTATATTTTTAAAATACAGTTGGATTTTCGCATTTTTAATTCTAAAAATACACTTCTCGCAGCATAAAGCTAAGGGTGAGAGAATCTGCCTGTTAACATGACACGGGTTAACAAATGTTTTTTTGCCAGGCCTAGTGTATGGAATTGTTTGGAATTTTATAGTGTTGTTTTGGTTTTTTTTCCTTGAGATTAGAGGTGACTGATGAGAAGTTCAAATTCAGAAAAAAAATAGACAAAGTTTTGTTTTGTTATATCCATATGCTGACTTCTCTGATTCACAAAATTTCTAATTTCCTGGCTCATTCATAGCTCAGCTAATAGGAAAATGAAGATTGGCAATGATATTACTAAAATCTTATATTATATTATACATTGTCACTTTTATTTGTGGCATAGTATGAAGAACAATATTAACCTGAACAATGGAAAACAACCGCAGACTTCTGAAATGAGAAACAACTCTCATAGTGTGAATACTAAATAATGCACTACAGTGTACACTACAAACGCTTCAAATTGCTTCAAGTGGGAATCAATATTTTTCTTCTTTCTCAGCTCCATTTGGAATGGTGTGATGATCAATTGTTATTTCATCTCCTATTTTGGGATTATACACAAGCATATTAGGGAAAAAAAAGCACATAAGATTATTTGTCATTATATTTGTCATCAAGTCTGTTCTTAAAATGTCTTTGTATAAACTTCAGAGTAAAATTTATATGTCTAACCTAAGATACAGTGAAAAGATTAGACCCAGTGATGCTGAATATTCACCTGAATATTTCTTTATTTCTGTACCACCTGTGTACAGATTACTGTATGCAAACAACAAAGTAAAGTATTTGTCTGGTTTTTTAGACTTTTTTGTAATACTTAACCAAAGAAGATTACAAATCTTCAATAACTTTTAATCAGCTTTCAGATTTTCTACTGGTCAGTACTATTCAGGGTGCAAGTTGATTTAGTGACATTCTGTTTCCCAGGGTCATCGAAAATAAATTTTTTAAGTAGCAGTGGAACAGTTGGTACTTTTAGAGAATCCACTGAAGGAAACTAAGCATTTCTCAGATTTTTTAGAAACAATGAATTTAGATAGCTGAACGTATTAATTTGAATACTGTGATTAGTCACTAGAGCTTTCTCATCAGTGTGATTAGTTGTGATATTTTCATATCAAGTGGGTTCTTCAGACATACAGAATATCCCCTGAAAGGATCCATCCGTGCTTCAGCTATAAGGCACCTTTTCTTTTGAAATTGTTCACTCTGCACTTGAAACAAGCTGTTTGTTACTCTAATCTTTGGCCCTAGTTAAGTCTACATTGACTGCATCTGTTTCTGCTCGTGTATTGTTGAATCAACCTATAGCAAAGCACAAATCCAATCAGGTCCTTCACTTTATTGTTTCCCTCTGCGGTTGAGTCTTTTTTCTCCTAAACAAGTTGAAGTTTTGTTCTAAGCGACTCCTGTTCTTTACCTTCTTTACGTTCTTTTCTCCTTGAACTTTTTTCCCTTCTTTTTCCTTTTCCTTTTTTAAAATTCGTTAAGGAAGTCAAACAGATCTTGTTACTTTAAGAAAAAAAAAAGCCTCTGCCAAAATCTTCCCCACAATTTCATCCTGCTTCCAATGTTTGCTTTTTCTATACCCTCAACCTCTTCCCTATAGGCCCTTTATATATTGTTGTGATGTTTTTCTAGTGTGCTGCTTCTGTCCTTTATACAATATCAGGAGAAAAGATCCATCCCTCTGGTTTTTGGTGGTGGTGTTTTTTTTTGTTGATGGGCTTTTTGGTTGTTTGGTTTTGGATTTTTTTCCCCAGCTGGCAGCTTGCTTTATATCCTTGAAAGTTCTGAAGCACCTCTACTCAGTTCATGTGACATAACTCATCTTCAACATTTATCTACTGCGTGTCTCCCCATTTCTGTGCCTGTAAATGTTTACTGGTTTCTCACTGCCAGTGGAGCTAGTGTTAACACTGAGTAGTAGCTAAAAAAGAAACTCACAATTTAACTAAATCTTTCATCTTTATTCTTGAATATTAAGTTCTCTGTCAGTCGCATAAGAAAACCTATTGATCTGGAGACTTTCCCTGCTCCTTCACAATCACAGTTATCTCCTGCTTTGTTTCATTTCCCCCTGCCCCCAGTTTATCCAAAAAGATGTTGCTGTTTTGGTAGCAGCATCTTGAGAGAGAAAAAGCCAGTGAAAGGGTAAGCAGTGTAGTTCTGAAGAGGGAAACTTATTTCTAACTTCATGCTGTGTACTATTACTTAGTTCATTTTTGCACAAATCGCACTGGAAAATAAAGCAATGAAAATTACTTTCTTAGGGCCTCTTATTTTCAGTAAACAATTGCTAATGAGAGTAGTGGTCTCACAATATCTGCTTACCCGAGTTCACCTTCAAATTCCTCTTGAATACCTACTTATTCTTTAAATTCTTCTTTCCTAGAGTGCTATCCCGCATTTGAATTTTTTTAATCTTAGATTGCAGTCACATTGTATTTTCATATATATTGCTTTATTATGAGTGAACTTTATTATGAGTGAACTAGAGACTTGTAAGAAGGCTGGAGAGGGACTTTTTACAAGAGTGTCCAGCGATAGGACACGGGGAAATGGTTTTAAATTAAAGGAGAATAGGTTTAGATTGGATCTGAGGAAGAAATTCTTCAGTACGAGGGTGGCAAGACTCTGGAATAAATTGCCCAGAGATGATGTGGCTGCCCCCTCCCTGGAGGTGTTCAAGGCCAGGTTGGATGAGGCTTTGAGCAACCTGATCTAGTTGAGAGGCGTCCCTGCCCGTGGCAGGGAGGTTCGATTAGATGATCTCTAATGTGCCTTCCAACCTGAGCCATTCTATGATTTTCTGCATGCAATAATATTTCTAAATTCACAGCTTTCTATGTTTTACAAACACAGCCAGGGACTTAAAATACAACTATTACATAGCAGACATTTTCTCCTTTGTGAAAAGAGTAATAATTGCTTCCTAATGAATTAATGCACAACTTATCTGTTACTAAACCAGCAGTAACTAGTCTGTGACCAGCTGAATCTACCCAAAATTTCAGCATTGTGTCATGTCCTGCGTAACTAAATAATTTCAAAATCCTTGTTTTAATATTTTTGGTTTAGTTAAATACTACATTTACATGACAAAAAAAAACTTGTTTATTAAAATACAGTCTGTGAATCTTTGTTGGTAGATCTTGTCTTCTGTACTTAACTCCTGATTTTTCTGACAGTGTCTCTCCATGGTGACAGCTGCTGTAGCACCTTGTAGTCATTGTTCTCCTTCCTTCTGTGCCATCTCCATGACCTTTTCCCCATAATAAACAAATTAATGTGAAAGCATTGAGTTATTATTTTAATGTTTGGAAAGCGTAATAAAATATTGCCAGTAAGGTTAGACTGTAAATAGAGCTTGAAGTGAATTGAGAGATAATGAGGAAGTTTGCTCTTCATAATAGAACAGATGCACATTAAAACGATGAAGGAACTACCATATTCAGTGAATAGTTTAGAAGTTAAAGTGAAAGAACAAAGGGGTATTAAGTCTGTTTTTAAGGAAATACCATCCTCTGTAAGAAAACAAGGTAGTTTTTTCTAAAATCTTTTAGGGGAAAAAAAAAGAAAGAGCAAATATGCTTGTCAAAGGCAATCTCCTGGTTTCTTTCAAGTCAGCAAGGGAAGAATCTCATCTAATTTTGGCAGATATATTATTTTGCCTTAAAAATTAACCAATGTACTACAAATAAACACTCACTCTGAAAAATGACTTACAGGAAACTAACCACAAGGGGATATTTTCTCAAGGCAATGGAGTAAATAGGAAGACCTATTCTCTGTCACCCCTTACTTTGGTATCCTAAATACATATAATAAAAATTTAGTAACCAGAAATTGAAAGCACTATTTCCAGACACGAGAATATAAAGTCAAAGTAACTTCAGTATTTAAGTATTATTTAGATATTTAAATATTGGCTATTGAACTGTAGCTTTTGAGGGTGCTTATACATGAAATATGAAAGTGCTAACCCCACTAACCTTCTATACCTTGTTCTGAAAGCTGTCACTCTTTCAGCAGAGATGGTTAAAGAGTTTCTGAACTGTGGCCGTTTACCGCCCGGTACGTTAGCATAAACTGATACCCATGTTAGTTTACCTTAATTTGCTGGTCTGTAAACTGCAGTGGTTCAGAAGCTGAGTCATGAACCAGTTGGGCTGTCCCTGCTGGGAAGGCAGTAATCTCTAGGGGGGCGGTAAGGCAAACAACTGGGGCCAGTGCCCGTTTCAGCAATGTAGTGTTAATCCACTGTTGAGTATATCAACATGTCAGCTGCAACACAAAATATCTGAAAAAGCCTCGTTACTGACTCACCACCGGAAAGATCAACTTCACGGTATAGGCTTAATTCATTCGTGACTGTGTCATTACTCTACAGATGAAATCAGTTAATCAGCGAGCCAATTTCTTTTATTGGTTGGAGAGATTGAATCAACAAAGATGATGTTGGTTGATTTGAGGTTGGTTGATTCTTATGAAAAGAAGCTTTGCAATAGCAGTGGTAATAGGGGACTGCTGTCACAGTCAGCTTGGAGCTGGCGCGGTGTACAGCAGAGTGGGGTTTAACACACATCCTCTAGCAACTTGGCTCTATGGGGACTTTTCCCAGGAACTGAACCTCTTTGTGACCAGACAGGGTTTGAGCTGTGCGTTTCTTGGAACTGTATAAGTATGGAAATTCTAAAGCTCAACTGCTCCACAGTGAGTTAATGTAAATAGGAATCTGTGAAATTAGATAAATAAATAGAAGTTACACAATCTAATTTATGAGGAAATGTAAGCAGCACTTGAAGCAGACCTGAGGAAAACTATTTAAATTTAGAATATGTTGAAATGCCTGGATGCTTTGCAATAATATCTTAGTGATATCAGTAATTTTGATGGAAGAAATGGCAGTCTTCACAACAAACAGAGTCTAGAAAGACAAAAATTCAGAACTAATATCATCTTAAGTTGCATAGCTGTCTATATATACAACATTCCAAAGAAGGAAAAACGGACCTAAACTATAATTACATATTAATTAAAAATCAGCTAAAGTCTGCATTCCTTCACCAGTACTGCTGCTACTTCCTATAGTCTGCATTAAGGTACAGTTCACTTTGCAGGTTTTTTTTCTTAAAGAATATGTGAAAATATTTTTACAAAATGTTCAGCTGAGTAACTTTTCATAGCTACTAAAATATGAACTTTATACTGAAGTCATCTAGGCCTGGGTAATAGTGCTGTAATTTAGTAGCTGAAAACACTGAAACAAACTCAGATGACTAGGTAGGTTCAAAAGTTTTCAGTAAAACATTGTTACATCCATGTTATCTAACAATGGGCAACATACCTTTTCATGGCCAATGTGAAGAGTTGACTGTCAACTATTAATCTGAACTTGATCAAATCTGAGTGAGAACACAGCACATATGTTAAAAATGAATTTATTAAATGAAAGATTCTAATAATCAGTGCTTACTGTACATGTTAAGTATGTATTATTCCTCTGTATTTCAGTGTTCAAAAGAATCCTGAAACAAAAGAAATACATGTTATTTCTACAGTCTTCAGAGTGTCTGTATATGTAAGTATTAATAATTTGTTACAAAAAATTTGGGTTTTGTTTTATTGAAAGTGGCATGCATAACAGAAAAATAATGAATTGAGAATTACACAAAGAAAGCATAATACTCCACTTCAAAGGGTTATTTTTCCACAGTTGTAATATTTTATTCATGAA